GGACCCCGGGTTCCCATTCGGAGGGAATCGTGATAATAGCTACTATTATAATAATATAATTAATAACATAATTAAAATAATAACTATTATTATTAACATAAATTCCTATATTCTAATATTAATATAATAATATATCATTATATCATTATAATAAATTATAATACATTATGATAAATAACAAACAACAATAATTTAATGTTATTATACCTTATAGCTATGAATTATTATAATACTTGCCTCCCCACGGAAGGGATCCCACAATGGGGCTCATTCTACCTTGAACCCCGAGAACGCCCGCAGCATGAAGGGTTAGGCCAGAGCCCTGGCTGCCGGGGCAGGCTTTGCAGCGGGTTGGCGTCGGAGTAGAGTGGGGGTGTCCCACGCATACGGGGGCAGGGCGGTGCTCGTGCTGCGTGGGGGGCACTCGCCGGCCCCCTCTCTGGGCCTCAGGGCCCCGGATGGGGCAGGGTCCAGGGCTTGCTCTGAGGAGCCCCGGCGGGGCCTGGGGGAGGCTCGGTGTGGACGGGGTCCTGCCAGAGCTCTGCCCGCCCAGCCCCCCGCTAGAGGGCCCCTTCTCTCTGGCGTCCCGGGCTAGACGCAGCCCCCCTTCCGCAGCAGTGAGGTTCCACTTCTCTTCCGGCCCGATCCCCTCGCTTCCTGTGGCCGGTGGGTCGGGCCAGCTCCACGCCCCATGGGAGTGGCGTGTCCCGGCCGTGCCGGACTCGGGGGGCAAGGCTCCAGGCTGCCCCGCCGGCCGCTGGCGGCTGCTGGTCCGCGGCGCGTGGAGGCGGGTGTCTCCCGCGCGGCCGGCGCAAGGGTTCCGGTCTCCCCGCTTGCTCCCCGTGGCTGCCGAGACGCCGCCGGGCTTTCATTTCGAGGCTCTGAGGAGTCACAGTCGCTGGTGGGTGCCCACAGAAGCCCTGACCCCCAGGGCAGGGCCGGACGCAGGCTGAGGGCAGGCGGGCACTGCCCTGCGTGGGACCCTCCACCCCGGCCCCAGGGTCTGCTGCCCTCCCCCGCCCCGTGGGCCCAGACCACAGGGGTGCCCGGGGGCTGGGTGCAGTGACGAGATGACGCTACTTCGGGGCCGCCGGGTCCGGCGCTGCCCTCCCGGCGGACATGGCAGGCCCTGGCTCCCTGCCGGTCTAGGGGAGCACCGGCTGCACCAGCTGTGGGGTCCCCAACTCCACCCCGGTGCCAAGAAAGGGAGGTGTGTCCAGCCTGCCCTCCGTGGGTCTCCCTGCCGGGGTCCCCAGCGGGGGGCGGGGGCGGGCAAGGAACTGTCCACAGGGTCCAGTTCTCCTTCAAGTTCTCCTCTGGGGCTGGCCTGGGCCAGGGGTGAGGCGAGGGTCCAGGATGCCACCTCTGCCCACCTCTGCCTGGCATCTCGCCTGTGTCCCGAGGCCTCTGAAAAGCACAGGGATGAGCCAGGAGCAGAATTTTCCGTGGAAAAGTCTGATTGAAACCTGAGCCCCTGCCCGGCTCCTCTGTGCCTGTGGCCACTTGGCTCCTGCCAGCCTCCCCGGGCACCTGGCGGGCAGCTGGGGTCCGGGAAGCCACCCAGAGGGGTTTTCCCACTTTGGGGTGAGCGGCGCACCCACCCCAAGGGGCAGCTTGCCGAGAGTGCCCCGTAGCATGCCCTCACCCCAAACTGCCAATTATCCCAAACGCTGTTGGCGCGGACCCACCTGCCTCCTCCAGAGCGAGCTACTTAGTCACTGTGGATCTGCGCCCCTTGGCTCGCCGCTGGGCCCCCGCTGAGCCAGGCACCCATACGGCGTCTGAGCCCCTCCTGCCAGGCCGAAGGCAGCAAGTGGAGGCTGGGGGCGGCAGGGCCAGGCCTACTAGGGGCAGGTCAGTGGCCCTGTGGGGGACAGGGCTGCCGGCGGGCCCCGGATGCGCCTGCGCACGGGAACCTGTCCATGACATAACCGGTGAATGACCCGGAGGGCTCGGGGCAGGGGAGGGCGCCAGCTGTGATTTGAGAGGAGAGAGTGGGCACCATCGCCCGCCAGCCGCCTCCGGCTTGGTGCTGAGGGTGTCTGCGTGCACCTGCACCCCAGAGGCTGCGCGCGGGGCGGGGATGCGGCCTCGGGCCTGGCCTCTCCGAGCTACCGGCCCTGAACTTCAGCAAGGGGCGTTTCGTGTCATTAGTGGGGAGATCCCACATCTTCAGGAGATAATTTTGAAATTATTTCTGCATCATCAACCACATCTGTTTATCTTTGCTCCTGGCACACAATGCCGTGTGTCTGTTCTGTTCCCCGCACCTTGCAGCCCCTCTGCCCCGGGCGTGCGGGGGCCTGGGGCCTGGGGCAAGGAGCTTCTTCTCCTAGGGCCGCACCGGGGAGCACAGCAGCCGGAGGCCGGGGCTGGCCAGCCGGCCGCGTGCCTGCAGCGCCCACGTGGCGTGCTGCAAATTTGTGGTTCAAACGCACTTGAGAGAAAACTCGCCACTGTCACAAGTTCAGCAGCAACCCAGGCTCCCCGCACACGCGCAGCGTTGTGTGGCTGTGTCGCCGTCGCCCTGTCTAGTTCCAGAACATTCTCATGCCCCCGTGGAGACTCCACACCATTGGCAGGCCCTCCCCCCGGCAACCTGAGTCTCCTTTCTGCCTTGGGGACGCACCTGCTGGACCTTGCCTGGGTCATGTGCTGGGGTCACTCCCCATCAGGCACTGAGGCCCACCCACATGGGGCGGTCAGTACCTCCTTCTGGTTGAGACCAAAGTGCTCACTCCATGGAGTGGGGAGGCCTCGCCCTGTATCCCTTCGGCCTTGGCGACTCTGGCAGTGCCCTCGTTGGCTGAGCCCAGGGCGGGCAGAGGATGGCGGGGACCCCGGAAGACAGCTGTCCAGGACTGTGGATACACCCCATAGGGGCCTGCGGATCTAGGCTGTGCTGTGACTTTTGGGGAGCTTCCCCGTGTCTCCCACGGCCATGGCTCCATTTTCTTTTCTGCCAGGCACACAGGAGGCTCTGCTGCCGGATCTGCCAGCCTGGTGGCCTCTCGTTGGGTCCAGCCCTGCGGGCGGACGGCTGCAGGCCCCGCCTGGTGACCAGTGAGGCCGAGGGGTGCCCGAGGGGAAATGTCTGTTCTCACTCTGAGTTGGGGTGTCTCCTGAGGCAGATGGGGGTTCTCTGGACAGGACCCGTGACATCTACTCCCACATTGGCTCATCCATCCATCCCGCAAACACTTGGGGGAGGCCCCCAGGCCCTGAAATCTGTTCAGACTTGGCTCTGCCCTCAAGAGGTTTGCTGTCTGGGGCGGGGAGCGGGGCACAGAAACCTGGAGAGGGGCAGGGGTGGTGCCAGAGATGGCGGGTGGTACTGGAGACTGGGAGGAGATACCAGAGACCAGGAGAGGGTACTGGAGACTGGGGGGTGGGTGCTGGAGACCAGGTGCCCACTCCGAGCCCCCTTGATGCCAGGAGCCAAGGGCTGGGCACCCAGGGGGTTTGCACCTGGGCCTGGAAGGCGTTGAGTTTGCCGGGTAGGGCAGGGGGAGGACGGTGTCCCAGGCAGAGGGACAGGCAGGGTGTCTGAGGCCACATCCCCAGAGGCCTCCAATTCCAAGCAGAAGAGCCTGGGAACTCTGGCTGGGTTTTGGGGGGATCTAGGAGGGGAGCCTGGGGTCTGCCTGGGGGCAGGAGGCCAGAGGACCCCCTGGGCTGTGCTCCTGCCACCCCAGTGGGGGTTCTTCCCATGCGGGGCGGGTGCGGCTGCGGCAGTGGGAGCATCTGGAACGGAAAGCCCGTGTTAGCAGCGGGCCGGAGCCTGCAGCCGGCCTGGGGGCCGGGCCCGGGAGCGTTCCCATCCATCTCATTTCCCCGGCTCGGTTTTCCGGGGAGCTACAATTACTTGGGGCTGAATTCCCCAGATTCCAGGCCGCTCCAGCCCCACCCGCCCGCCTCCTTCCTCCACGCCAGCCGCGGGCGTTGCTGCGCTTTGTGCCGTGGGAGACCAGGGGTCTTGGCCAGATTAGCGGGCGGGGCAGCCGGCCCGGGGATTGGGTGTCAGTCGGGGCGCCCGGGGTGCCGCAGCACGTGCTGTGGGCTCCTGCCCCATGGGGACTTTCCCAGCCAGCTGTGGGCGCCCGGCTGCCCTGGAAAAACACTGAGTGGCTTCTCTCAAGAAAGGGGGTGACAGGCGGTGCCGGAGGGGTGCACTCACTGTGCCCCGAGGCCAGGGCCATGCGTGCTGGCTTGGGGGAGGCCCCGGCAGCCTCTCAACACCCACTCTCTGCATTTCACTAGGCCCCTCCTTCCAGTTTGGTGGCCCCCTCAAAGCAAACAAGCAGCCCAGAGACTCCCCTCCGAGACACGCACCCCAAAGGACTGAAACGGACTCAGACACAAACCTGTGACGGTCCCGAAACTCGGGGGAGGCGCCCACCCACTTGTCCACCACGAAAGGGCAGGAGCAAAGCGCACTCTGCGGATGGGGCAGCGCTGGGGGCGGGGGCTGCGATGCCCCTGACCGCCTCTCACAAGGGGCCGCAGGCCCCGGGGCCCAGCATGTGTGGCTCCAGGTCTATGAGGTGCCCCGGTCAGTGGCAGGTCAGGGGTTCCGGGCAGGGGGAGGGAGGACACGACGCAAAGGTGTTTCTTTTGGGGGTAGTGACAGACCTCAGAGCGAGGCGGAGGGGCGACTCTGGGAATGTGAGTTTGACCCCATGAAACAGACAAGCCGCCTGTCTCCCTGTCCGTGGAGCGCCCCCGCGGGGCCAGCCTCAGCTCCTGGAGGCGCCAGGGGGCTCATTGCAAAGGCCCCGGGACAGCCCCGCGGCTACAGGGCTTCACGACAGGTGGCCGGGCTCAGCACACAGTAGGTGTGCAGCTCGGGTCTGCTCCTGTTTCGTCCCCGGGGGCGCAGCCCCTGGTCACCTTGGCGACGCAGGCGGGTGGGCGGGGACCACGCATGTCGTGGCAGCGGGGCCTGTGTGAGGGCCCGGGCGGGCGCGGCCGCGCTCACCTCCCCTGTCCTCTCCCCGCAGAGCGCTGTCGTCTGTCGTGGCCCTGGGAGCCAACATCATCTGCAATAAGATCCCCGGGTTGGCCCCGCGGCAGCGCGCCATCTGCCAGAGCCGGCCCGATGCCATCATCGTGATCGGGGAGGGGGCGCAGATGGGCATCAACGAGTGCCAGTACCAGTTCCGCTTCGGGCGCTGGAACTGCTCCGCGCTGGGCGAGAAGACCGTCTTCGGGCAGGAGCTCCGAGTAGGTAAGGGCGCTGCGGCTCCCGGCGCCGGGCACTGCGCTCGCGCTCTGCGTGCCTCCTGCTGGCCGCTCTCAGCTCGCGGTGGGCCTGGCGGGGGCGGCCCCGACCCCAGGGACACCAGGCCTGACTGGCCTCTGGGATGCCCGCAGGTCTGGGCTGCGGCGTCCACGGGAAGCCGCTGGGCAGTGGACAGGGTCCCAGCTGGGGGCTGGGGGCGTGTCCTGGCATGGGCCGGGAAGGGAGGCAGGTGGGAGCCAGGCTGGTGCGGTGGGGAGGCACGCTGCCCCCTGGCTTCTGCACCAGCAAATGGGGTCATGGCAGCATCTCCATCACGGGGTGTTTGGGGGCTCAGTCCCCTGGCCCGGGAAGTGCTGTTCACCTTCGCACTGGCCCTGAGCAGCAGCGGAGGCCGCTGGCGGACGTGGTGCTTAGCCTGCGGGGCGGCGGGGCGGCCGCAGGGAGCAGGGCGGGGGCTGGGCTGTGCAGGTGAGGGCACCTTCAGTCCATGACCGCGGCAGCCCCTGCGCTGCCCACAGCCCCGGGCCACACTCCCACCTGGCGTCCCCACAACCCGGGGAGGCTCATGGTTCCACTTCACGGGAAGGAGACTGAGGCCCAGAGACAGATTTAGGGGAAAATGTGAGACTGACCTGGATTTGGACCAGCCTGGTGGACTCGGGGCTGCTCAGAGCCTCAGTTTCCTGCTGCGTAACACAACACTGAGCGGACAGGCCCCTCCTCTGGGTCCGCGACGCCTCCCTGGGCCCAAGCACAGTAGGTGCACAGGCGCCGCGGGGACAGTGAGGGTGCGGGGCAGCGGCCCTCCTGCAGGCCTGGCCAGGGCCTGAGGGGAGTGCTGACTCGGCAGCGGGCCGGCCCCGGGCATGCGGGCGCAGGTGGGCCTCCGCACACGTGGGCACACCCGTCCTTCCGGTCCCCCGGCCCGCCCGGCAGAGCCGCAGCTGCCGGGACCCAGGCCAGAGCCCGGCTCTGCAGGGCCTGGAAGGCCCGGCGGGGGGCTGAGGGTGGCGCAGGGGAAAGCCCCCGGGGGCCCCTTTGTGGTAAGCAGCCTGTGGGTGGCACCTGGCACGGCCAGGAGGTGGCCCCGCCCCTCCCCAGGGCCCCGCCACCCAAGTGCAGCTCCCCCCACAGGTGCCGGCAGGCCGGGGTGGGGCCTCGCTCCGTGCTCCACGGCAGCGCCAGCAGCGGGCGCGGCGGCCGGAACCCACTTGCCCCAGACACTGCGGGCATCCCCACTGCGCCTCCAAGGAAGCTGAGGCCCAGCCTGCCGCGAGGTTGTCCCAGCTCTGCAGTGGACCCGGCTTCAGGCCCAGGTCCTGCCGCCCTTTCTGGTGACCCTTATAGCCCCGCTGGGCAGGGGAGGGCTTCGGCATCGCTGTGGCCAGGAGACGCGGGCAGCGGGAGAGACGCAGTGTGCCCCCAGGGTCGGGTCAGGCCCCAGGTGGGGACGCCGCACCCGTGTGCTGGTCCATGCCGGTGTGATGGGCAGGGCAGAGCCCGAGGCGCGGTGTTGGCCCCCACTTGCTGTCCCCCGTGGTGGACAGTGTCTATCCCCCAGGTCACCTTGGCTGACCGCCACGCTGTCCTGAGCTGTGAAGGTGGCTGGCGACGACCCACAGCTGGAGACTGGCCCTCGGCCCCAGGGGTCTGCGCGGGGAGCACAGCCTCACCCAAGGCTGGGTGGAAGCAGGGCTGGACGGGCCCTCACTTCTGAAGGAAGACCCCCCCATACTCACAAGCATTTCCGAGGCAAACCCCTGTCCAGGGACTCTCGTGGGGCCAGCTGACCCCTCTTTCTCGGCTGGGCCCCGACCGGCCTGGACGTCCTGTCTCTCTGCTGCCCTTTCTCAGCTGTCCTGCTCAGGGCCCCAAGGGGCGTGACCAGCACCGCTGCCCCTGGGGACACATGCTGCACGCGCTCTGCACCCCATCACCCGAACCTCCCTCTTGTCCCCCCACGGCCACTGCAGGGCCTGCCACTCTGGCCTCCCCTGGCAGCAGTCAGTGCCCCTTCCTGCCTCCTACCCAGCCCCTGCCAGGCCGCATTGCACCCTTCCTGCTGTAGCTCGCTCCTGCCACCCCGCACCCCTGCGCCCCTCCATGCCTTCCGGAGACCACGCTTAGGGGTCCTCCCCCCACCCCCTGCCGAGCGGCGGGCCTTCCCGGGCCAGGACTCCGTCCTCCCTGCGGCGTCCCCTCCACTCTGCTCCTGGGTCTGACTCCCCCGCGGGGCATCCCTGCCCCTCCCCCCCATCGCTCAGGCTCGCCTGCCCGGAGCGGGCGGGCTCTCTGAGGCCAGGCTGAGGTCCCCCCACAGCGGCAGGCTGTGAGCTGCTGGCTCGGGGTGGGGGCTGGCCTGGAGTCAGAGCAGGAAGCGGGCCAGCCCCTGTCAGAGGCTCGGGTGCCGGGCGCGGGGTGGGCGCCGCGCCAGTGCTGGCAGGCAGCCGGGGGCACTCGTGGGAGCGCCACTCAAGCGGTGCCAATTAATGATTGGCCCTGGGAGGGGGGAAGGCCTGGGCAGGTGGGACAGCCCCGCAGGCCCTGCTGGTGACCTTGGCCTTGTCTTCGGGCCCAAGTCTTCCGCGGAAGGGAAACCCCTTAAAGGGGCAGCGCAGCCCTGTGCAGAGTCCCGTCTCCTGCCCGCAGCGGGGCGACTGCCGCGTGCCCGGCCGGCTGCTCCCTGGGAGCTTTCTTGCTGTGCCCTGCGCTGGCTGTCCCCGGGACTCCAGGTGCTGCCGTCCCTGCTCCCTTCCGGTGGCAAGACCCACGCCAGTTTCCCTGTGCCCGAGCAGGCCTAGTGATCGCCCCCCTCATGCCCCATCCAGGGAGGCTGTGACCCAGAGCTCCTCCTGACTGTCTCTTCTCTTGCCTGGAAATGAGCTTTGGGGGGCGGCAAACGTGCCTCCAGCTCAGCTGGCGTCTGTCACGAGTGGGGCAGGGTGGAGGGGGGACCCGAGAGTTGGGGTGGACCAGAGCCATCTCTTGGAGAGCCGGGCCGCGGAGGCCCTGAGCAGGGCCTGGGGGTGAGGCCTGCCCGGAGCGGGTGACGTGTAGGTGGAGTCCCGAGTCACCCGGGCCAGTCTGGGGGTGAGTCTGGCGGTGAGAACAGGGAAGGGGCTCCAGGTGCCAAGGCCCAGGGGCCAGGGATCAGAGGGAGCATTGAGGGGGACAGCGGGTGGGGTGCTGAGGCTGGGTGACGCTGAGGGGCTGGAAGGCCCGGCTGGCCTGAGCAGGAGAGGGACGTCCCTCCGCCCTGGGGCCTTCCGGTGGCTGCCCCACCCCCACTCGGGTTCTCTGGCGTGGAACCCCAGTCCCAGCTGCCGTGGAACCCCCAGTCCCATCCACATGTACGGACTCATGCGTGACCAGGCATGGGCAGCCTGCTTTGTGGGTGAGCTTTGCACTGGGGGCCAGTCCTGAGCCCCCAGCCTGGCACTGCAGGGCCATCGGCTCCTGGACCACCCGAGGGTGGAAGCGACAGGCCGCGGGTATGACGCTGATCCCTAGGAGGGGTGAGGCTCAGGACGGCACCCGCCTCTCAGGGGCCGGCAGCTGCTGGTGTGCCCAGCAGACCCGGGAGCCGTCGAAAGAAGAGCTGGTGAAACGGTTCTTTGATAACCTCTGCGCTGATTTCAAGTTGCGATGCTAATATCCAGCCGCATCGGCAAAATGAAATGTCACTAGGATTCACCCTAAACTGGTGACGTGCAAGTGTCAGGTAACGGGTGTGACCCCCAAGGCTTCTGTGCAACGGCTTCCAGCTGCCCTGGCCCGGGGCAGGCGAGCATGTGAACCCAGACCTGCCTGTCTCCACCCCAGATGCCGTCCTCCCGCTCGGGGTGGCAGGGAGGTGGGCGGGGGCGGCTCCTCTGGCTACCCCTGCATGTGGCCGCGCCTGCGGGCTCTGTGCTGGGCAGGAGTTGGACGTGGGGGCCGCCAGCTCCGCTCCTGGAGTCTGCACCCAGGAGGCACCTGTCGAGCTGTGAGGCCGACTGCGTCCAGCCTCGCACTGGGCAGTTCCTCCCCGCCAGCAGCCCCCAACCTGAGGGGGCACATCCTTGCGCCACTGGCCCCGTTATTCCCACTCCCTCCCCGTGCTGGGGCCGGGCACAGGACGCCGGGGCAGTCGGATATTGCAGGGCAGAGCAGAAAGCCTTTCCTGCAGGCTGGGCCCCCGCGCTCCCCTGGCTCAGGACTCAGCAGGCACCCCTTTGGCCAGCCGGGTGCCATCAGCAGGGAGGCTGTCAGTCCTCGGGCCCAGACTCTTCCCCTGGGCCCCGGCAAGGCTGCCTGGATCTCCCAGCCTTCCTGGCGAGGCCCCGCAGCAAGGGGTACAGTGATCCCGGCCGGCCGCCAGGCTCTGCTTGACCTTGGGCACGCCTGCGGGCTCTGGGGCATCAGTCCACCCACCCAGCCCTGGCATGACTGGGGCCCAGACACCTCCAGGGCTTGGGGATCTCTCCTCAGAATGGAGGGGGGGGGCCTGCTCCCTCAGTCCTGGTTGGGGCTCCCTGGAAGGCCTCCATGGCCAAGCGTTCCCACATCTGCGGCCGCCACCCCAGGATCCACGAGCCTGGCCGCCAGCCTCTGCCCCCTGCCGCCGGGCTAGGAGGGCTGTCTCCCCGCGCTCTGCAGAGGCCGGGCCGGCACAAGCAAGGCTCCCCGGCTCCTGCTCTCCGCACGTCAGCAACAGCCTGGGGCTCTCGGGGGCGGTGAAGGAGGGCGAGGGATTTGCCTAAAATCACACGCGGTAAGAACTGGGGCTTTGAGCCTGGGGTTCCAGGGCTGTGCCCTGGCAGAGGCCCTGGGGGGACGAGGCTCCATTGCCCCCCACACCTGGTCCCCACACATGGGCAGCTGCTGACTTTGCCCTGAGCCCTGGTGAGGGAGAGGCTGCCAGGCTGCCGGAGGCCCTTCCAGCCGCCCCAGAGCGAGGGCTGGGGCGAGGGGCCCCAAGACCCACCCGACTTGGAGCAGGCCCC